AAGCTTTCGTGGACTACAGCCCACTTCTTCGGATGCACGAAAGCTTATGCTCTAATAAATTTGTTAGTCTCTAAGGTGCCACAGGTACTCCTGTTCTTTTTGCGGATACAGACTAACACGGCTGCTACTCTGAAACCTGTCATTATGGAGACAGGGACACTCAAGTCATAGAGCTACTGCACCTTCTACTTACCCCTCTTTGTGCCCACCTCTCCAAAGCTGTCCACTGCTTTCTGCTCTCCAGTGCCCAGGTTAGTAGAGTTGAATATACTGACCTCTGATTGCAAAGTCTGGATGAGTCTTTCTCAGTTTTCCTTTAAAAAAATTCTTTAATACACTTTAAAACAAATATTTCTCCACAGTCCTGTGCTCTGGCAAGTCTCTGCTGTCTTACATCTTTTCAAGGGTGCAGCAAGTGCTGCTTCTGGCATGTGTCTCCAGTGCCACTTACTTTTTTCAAAGGCATAATGCATATAAATACCATCAAGTGGGCTGTGGACTTACTCCCCCAGTACATCACTGCTCCTAGGTGGCAACATTTTCCCTAGGTCTTTTTCATTGTAAGTTTGTGAGGCTGTAAATTATGTCTTTCAGAGGCTAGGACTGGGTGTTCTTCTGGAACTAAGCCAGTTGGAGACAGACTGATGGAAGCCTTGATGAAAAGAAAACGAAGTTAACAAACATGAGGGATAAAAGGGATAGACATTTGAAATCTTTGACTACTCTCATTGACCTCTTACTCAACATTAATCTTCCGCCTATATTTACTGTAAGTAAATTGAAGAGCAAGCTCTGTGATTTCCTGCTGGAACCACTGCCTCAACTCTGCTTTGTCACACTCCCACGGTGTGCTAGCACGGACTGATTGTGCTGAACAAAGACTAAAGGGCTTGTAGAAGGGAAAAGGAGGGGCCAGAATGATACCAGCACCATTCTTTGGACTGGCTAATTTGCCATAGGCATTGAGCATGCATGCAATGGCAGATGTTATGCTGAAGAAAATGTAATTAGTAGGACTCTGAATTATATTGGCCAAACAGCAAGATGCCCAGGACCTTGATTCAGATAAACATCCAGAAATGTGGCCATATAAGAGACATTCTTTGGTTTGAAAACCAGTGTGGAAATATCTTGAGAACAGGAGCTTAATGCGAGTTTTCTAGTTGTCCTGGATTGCAGCCTAGCCAGAAACACCACAAGAATAACCTTTGTTGCAGAATTCAGGTATTTCTGCTGCAAGCCTACATCTCAAAATCAGGAAAAACAGTTATATGAGAGGGGGTGGAAAACACTTTTCAAACTCTTCAAAAGAGATTTGTGCTCAGTTCAAGTTTTGGAGGAAGGTGCAGGCCGGTTATTTTATCTAAATAAACTGGTTTATTCATTCCTATCAATGAGACACTATTTGAAGATACTGGATAAATTCGACATAGAATTCATATGGACCAGAAGGCATATATGTTACTGGATTGGATAAAAAGAATTTCACTCCTAGATCTAGAGAGATATTTCCCTCCATCCAGAACTACAACTTAAACCTCTAAGATTTGTAGCTCCAAATAGCGCAGCGGATGCAGAATGCTAGAAGAAGACATGGAATATGGGTAACCCACAAGTGCAATGAAACAGCAGATTTATATATTTTAAACTGAATATGGCTAGTATTTCGCCAACTATCAACCAACTATAAGGTATTATGCCTTTAAAACACAGGCACTCAATGGGGTGCTATATAGAGGTTCATTACCCCAGCAGAAGTGTTTGGCAGCATTAGCTCTGAGGCAAGCACAGAACCCTCTCCTGCCCTGCCCCAAGCGCTGAGGCACACAGGGGGAGCATGACTGTTGTTGCACCCTTTCAAAGAGTGCAAGGCGCACTCCCCATCTAGGGCCAGCTCTGCTAGCAAGTGCAGGGAAGCAGTGGATGGACACACCTCTATCTTTGTCCTTCCGTCCCCCATGTGCGCCTTAGCTTGACTAGGAAAAAAGGCTGCAGTGGATATTGTGTTAAACAATTCCCGGTTAAAGTTCTGGGAGGCACCACCACCTATTTCGGTGTCAAGATAAAGCCTTGGAGAAGGCAATGCTGCTGTGCATGCAGCTAACATCATGTCTTTTGGAGGTTCTCCAGGCACTGTCCCTGTGAAGGGTTGCTAGGAGAGGGAGAGGCTCTTTGTGTCCTTTCCCCACTCTCATGCACACCTACACATGGTAGATCACAATCTTGCCCTGCTTTAGCTGTGGTGCCAGGCACCCTGAGAATAAATGGCGGATAACGTATTGGCAGGCTGCCTGTTGTATACTTCCTGGCACCTCCATTACATAGCAGGAGTATTCAACACTTACCTTAGGAAAGGACTAGTTTTCCAATGTGTGAGAGAAGGAATATATTCCTTACACATCAAGAAAATGAAGATTCATCTTGACTAGTGTGGGACACATATTGGGGGTGAGGAAACGTTCATCAATTCTAATTTAGAACTTAGAGCAACAGTAACATTTTTGACGTGTTAACGGAGAGTTATAAAATACTAGCTTAAAAATAACAGAACGATAAATACATTCTGAAGCAAATGCAGCAGAATTCATGGGAGTTTCCATGTTGCCCTTCAGAAGTTTCAGAAACAGCAGTGATTTTTTTTCTTCCCTCTCCAAAGCCGGTCACAAGGCTCTTAATTGCATCGTTGTCATGGGATAACAAGATGATACAACGAGATAACTGCTGAGAGACACGGAGGGAAAAAATGACACATCAAGCTCACAAATCCAGATTTGAATCCTCTATGCAGATCCAAAATTGCAGCCCACTCTGTTCAAAGTTAAAGCAAAGCCACAAGTCTTTGAAGTGGTGTTCGTGATCTGACGTAAGATACTGGACTAAGGTACAGATACTGCAAATGTCAAGGGTCAGCTTAGCACCATGTATAATATGCATCAAAACTGAACTGTGTGTGTTTCTCATCTGCACCCCATTAATAAAACCCCAGAGTCCCTAGCCCAGAGCAAAACAACACCAGGCCCACTGAAGTGATTTTCCCAGCTCTGTACCAGAATTCATTTCTACACAGGTGAAGAACTTTAAAGAACAAGATTCTGAGCAGATGGCACAGTCTTGCGGGTAAGGGACACTCGTAAGCACAAATTCTGCTCTCCTTTACACTGGTGTGAATGAGAGCAAAAATAGTCCTTGATCGTGTAAAAGGCAGTAGTTTTAATTCACTCCAACAATGAAAACAAGGTGTGTGGGGACTACAAACAGCTCACAAGCGAATAGGTTTTATTTCACAGCAAAAGCAGTGGTGATGGACACAGCACAAGAACTTGAATAGAGCTGAGCCAGAAGCCCAGTTCTGTTCAGTCGGGTCAAGGAGCATTTAATCATTGGTTTCAAGGAGGGCAGGATGGGTCCAACAGGCCGCAGTAGCATCTCCACACAACTATTTTCAATAAATTTGTGTTAATTTCCAGATAATTAAAGTATTTCAGTGCTAGAAACTTGGCTTCCCTCTGATCAAACTCTACCTACACCTTCTTAATAACAAGTTCTGTCATTATCCAGTTGGATTGTATAGATCACTATGGTGGTATATAACACTACTAAAGTTGGGCGTGCAAGAGCATCAGCAAGTACTGGACCCTGCCCATTTTATAATCACGGGGCTAGTCAGTTGCCCTTTGTTATGGGGTGAATTGTTCCGGCTCATTTACACATGTCCATGTGTGAATACTTCACATCTGTAGTGCAACAAGAGGGATTATAATAAGAGTAGCTTCCACAACATCTCCACCAGTAACCCACACCCCTTTGTTCTGTCTGGATCATCGGCCATATGAGATCTCACCCTGACACAAGGTTAATTAACAAACTCCAGCTTTATTGTGGCTTCTTCAGCCTCATGGCTTCTCAGACATTTCCCAGGAGGTGTCCCCACCCATTTAGTTCTCCCCAGGAAACAGTATGTTGCCTGAAAGTATCTGCTAGCACTTTCATATGGTTACAATACCAACCTGAGGATATTTAAACTAATACCACACCAAAAGACAACTAATGCAATACATTTTTGTGGTAAAAAAGAAACCTCACAACCTTGCTGTTGTGAACCTCCCTCCCCTGTTGACTGATGTGAACTCTGTGCTGTTCGATCTAACATAGGTCATAAATTAATTACACAAGTCATCACATTGAATTCAGGGATCAGTTATGTGAATAGGAGTTTGCAATGTACAGGCCCAGTCTTGCAAACTCTTCAGGGTAGGGGGTCATAAGTAAAACTTTCAAAATCACCTCCATGATTTAGGATTGTAAATCCCATTGGATTTAGGGTCCTAAATCATAGAGGTGCTTTTGAAATTGTAACCCGTCTCTTGATTCTTTCTGTAAAGCACCACACATGCAAATAGTGTTATGCGCAAATGTCTAACAGTCATTTAACTTCATTTATTTCAGTGTATAATCTTCCTTTTAGTGCCCTACCATTACTGTGTTCACCGAGGTGGGTTCCTGAGAGAAGATACTGCAGAGTATTCTCAGCATAAAAAGTAATTTCATCATATCGATGAACATCTGAATAATTGAACATTCAGTGAGGATTCTCATTAAGAGGTGGTGCTGACCTCCTGTGATAAAGATGACACTAGCCCATCATGAGGGAGTCTGCGTTTCCATGTATGGAAGTATAGAGAGCTCAGGAAAAGATTGCCAGGAAATACCTTCTTCAAGATTAAACTAAATCAAAATCCTGTCTGCTTCAACTCCAACGTGCTTTGAGGGCACATTTTAAAGGTGAACCTGTGACTATTCATGAATATTCTGCTCTATATCTGAAATTTCCTAAAGATGTATAATGGGAAAATGTGTTTTCATTAACCAGATTATTTATTATACATAACTAACACATGGTGGGCAAATCCTGCTTTTACAAGTCATGGGATTTTACAAGTGTAACAGAGCAAAAATGTGGTCCGGGATTTCTACTGCTTATTTCATATATGTTTACTTTAAGACCTAAAGTTAATTGTGTATTTTTGTAGTGTGTAACTGATTTAAGAAAACTAAAACACCTTTAGTAATGATGAAAAGTGTTGGGTTGACAGCACCAGAAACTGAATTTGTCTGTTTAAACAGAGACCATGTACCCCACCTGTGCCCCACTCAGGGGGCATATCATTTTTGTGATGAGGCTGACAAGAAGGTTGCCTGTAGAGCTGGTTCGGAATTTTTCAACAGAAAATGTCAGATTCATTGAAACATTGACCTTTTGTCAGAAAATGTTGATTCGTTAAAACCAAAACTGTTAATGGGAACGTACCAGGGGTTTGAGAAAACTTTCATCAGGAAAGGTTTCTCAGTTCCAAAACAGAATCTCTGGTCAAAACCAGAGACAGAGACCAAAACCCCAGAAGAGCTAAAAATCATGCGGTAGTGCACTCAGCTGGGATGTGGGAGACCCAGATTTGAATCCCTGCTCTGCTGGATTTAGAGCAGAGACTTGAACTCAGGTGAATAGCCTAATAGCCAGGCCACTGGCTCTTTAAAAAAGGCTCCAGAGGTGATCCTGGCAATTACATCCCAGTAAGTCTAGTCGCAGTATTAGGCAAATTGGTTGAAACTATGGTAAAGAACGGAATTACCAGACACATTGATGAACTTAATTTGTTGTGGGAGAGTCAACATGGTTTTTGCAGAATGAGAGTAAGGGTCAATTTGAGTAGCATTAGCTGGCACCTGGATATACATTGGGCTCAGATAAAATCCCTTTGCAAAGGGAAATCATGCCTCACCAATCTGATAGAATTATTTGAGGGAGTCAACAAGCATGTGGACAAGGGTGATCCAGTGGATATAGAGTTTTTAGATTTTCAGAAAGCCTTTGACAAGGTCCCTCACCAAAGGCTCTTAAGCAAAGTAAGCTGTCATGGGATAAGGGGGAAGGTCCTCTCATGGATCAGTAACTGGTTAAAAGATAGGAAATGAAGAGCAGGAATAAATGGTCAATTTTCAGAATGGAGAGAGGTAAAGAGTGGTGTCCCCCAGTGGTCTGTACTGGGACCAGTACAGTTCGACAGATTTATAAATGATCTGGAAAAAGGGGTAAACAGTGAGGTGGCAAAAGTTGCAGATGATACAAAACTACTAAATATAGTTAAGTCGAAAGCAGACTGCGAAGAGTTACAAAGGGATCTCACAAAACTGAGTGATGGGGCAACAAAATGAATGGCAGATGAAACTGAATGTTCATAAATGCAAGAAAGGGATAGATAATAAGACAGAAAATATCATATTGCCGCTATATAAATCCATGGTACACAGGGCCGGCTCTGGCTTTTTTGCCGCCCCAAGCAAAAAAAAGCAAAAAAATCCCATGGGGCGGACTCCCGGCACTGCAGATGTGCCCCGGGCAGCGTGGGGGAGGGGGAGGGAATGTGGGGAGAGAGAGAAGGGGGGTGGCCAGGTCTTCCTTCAGCCGGGCGCTCACCACACGGCCCCTCCCGCCACACCGCCTGCCGGGAGGGCTCCGCGCCGCTCCGGTCAGCGGGCAGGGAAGGACGCAGGCTGCCCTGCTGGGCTTGCTGCAGACCTGTAACCGGCTGGGGCAGACGGAGTGCGCAGCCCGCTCCCAGCAGGGTGCTCCCCTCCTCCACGCCGCCGCCCCCTACAGGGCGGCCAGAGCAGCAAAGCAAAAAAAAAAGGATTGGAGGGAAGCCACCCCTTAGAATCTGCCGCCCCAAGCACGAGCTTGCTCGGCTGGTGCTGGAGCCGGCCCTGATGGTACACGCACTTCTTGAGTACTGTGTGCAGATCTCGTCAGCCCATCTAAAAAAAAAGATATATTGGAATTGGAAAAGGTACAGAAAAGGGCAACCAAATTGATTAGGGGTATGGAACAGCTTCCATATGAGGAAAGATTAATAAAGACAGGGACTTTTCAACTTGGAAAAGAGACGACTAAGGGGGGCTATTATAGAGGTCTATAAAATCATGACTGGTGCAGAGAAAGTAAATAAGGAAGTGTTATTTACTCCATAACACAAGAACTAGGGGCAACCAAATAAAATTAATAGGCAGCAGGTTTAAAACAAACAAAAGGAAGTATCTCTTTATATAATTCGCAATCAACCTGTGGAACTCCTTGCCAGAGGATGTCGTGAGGGCAAGACTATAACAGGGTTCAAAAAAGAACTACATATGTCCATGGAGGATAGATCCATCAATGGCTATTAGCTAGGATGGGAAGGGATGGTATCCCTAGCCTCTGTTTGCCAGAAGCTGGGAGTGGATGACAGGGGATAGATCACTTGATGATTATCTAGTCTGTTCTTTTCCTCTGAAGCACCTGGCATTGGCCACTGTCGGAAGACAGGATACCAGGCTAGATAGTCTGACCCAGTATGGCTGTTCTTATGTTCTTAAAATATTAATGGGATGGGAAAAACGTTTCCCATCCAGCTCTATTTGCCAGATTGTAGTAGTTACTGTGTCCACTGGTCCACTAGAAACCAGATGGGGATCATGAACTCATTTCACATAGTCCACTAAACAGCTGTTAGATTGTCTGTCATTGCCCTCTGCTCACCCCCATAAACATTCATGTTATATTTATTTCTTTAGATTTTTTTTTAAATGTAAGACACAGACACACCCAGGCTTTATTGACTTTGTACAACTAGGGTTAGATTCACTGATAAACTCCAGCCACTTTGTACTACTAAGATGATGCAAAGCAGCTATTAACCTGGCTTAAACCAGTGAATCTGGTCTTTAATTTTCCGGAGTAGTACACAAAGGACTGCCCATCTCACTAAAGAGATCTATTGAAAACAAGACTGCTATGTAGATCAGTGGCTCTCAACCTTTCCAGACTACTATACCCCTTTCAGGAGTCTGATTTGTCTTGAGTACCCCCAAATTACACTTCACTTAAAAACTACTTGCTTACAAAATCAGACATAAGAAAAGTGTCCCAGCACACTATTACTGAAAAATTGCATATTTTCTCATTTTTACCATATAATTATAAAAAAATCAATTGGAGTATAAATATTGTACTTACATT